AAAAGCATCATGAATAAGAATAACATGAACCGAAATAACAAAGTTACATTATGTACCAAACTGTAACCAATCTATACACGAGTGGGTATAGGTTTGTCATCCCATTCGAAAGACCTAGATCACTGACAAGTGGAAACCACGTGGAAAATTCCGAAGAACCCCTTACCTGCTTGTAAGTAACCGAACACAGTACTGACCTAGTCACCGTGGTTCCACTTCAGAGAGAGAGAGAGAGAGAAATGGGGTTTAACGTCCACTCGACACAAACTTCAGGACTAACATATGTTTTTTAAAATTTTATTTCAATAATTCGCTTGCGCGTAGGGGTCTTTAGCAGTGGGAGAAAACCGGAGGAACCGGAGAAAACCCACGAGGTTGGACAGGCGACCCTACTCCTTGTCACGTACAACCGGGGAATCGAAACCACGCCAGTTGACTCAATGACAGGGCTTATGATACAGCGCGCATGTGCTAACCATTCGGCCATCCAACTCCCCGTCACTTCAGACCTACTTCTCGACAGTAAACAGTGTGATGTCAAGGGCAGTTTCTAGTCGTTCGGATGGTCCATGTACACATTGGCATGCAGGTTAAAGAACCCACTGGCAGATGGAAGTCGAAATAAGAGTTGGCCCGTAAATTTCGTGACCTGTGAACCAACATTGTGACAGGCGTCCTAGCTTCTACTATCCCGATATTAAAACAACCTTTATTGCAATGCATTAGACCTAGAGTTCCCCACACTCACCCACACACACACCCATTCACACACTCAAAAAAAGGTCCGCCCCTCCCCCTTACCCCAGTAATTCTACTAACGATGCATTTCGTGATTCCGTATTTTAATAAACGCTTACTGTTTTTGTCCAACCAGCAAACAATAATTTACAATCATAAATATTTTCATATATTTGAAATTTTAAAAATGCTGATGCTGTAAATAAGTAAGTTAATGGAAGCATTGCGACCCCCAGACGGTTGATATAAATGTGCTATACAATTAATGCGACTCATCGTATAATATGGGTTGAACTCAGCCTATGACTATAACGTGTACTGATAGAAGTGGGGGAGAGGCGGTGGCTGAAGAGTTTCGCGCGTGCTTTTTAGATCACAAGGTCTGACATTGAGTCAATTGGCGTGGTTTCGATTCCTCTTCGCGTTATTTCTCCGGGTCCCCCTGTTTTTTCCTACTACTGAAGATCCCTACACGCACGCGAATTAACGAACTAAAGTTGTGCCCCCTCCTTCTCTATCTCTCCCTCTCCCCCTCTCTCTCTCTCTCTCTTCTATCTGAACTGGTTGAACCTGGACACGGGTTTTGGTTATAAACTTGTAAAACACTGATGAAATATGATTTAAACCAACCCGTGTTCGTCACATTCCATGTAAATTTACAACGTCAAATAACCCCTATAGCGCCATAATATTTTATCCTTAGTTTAAACTTTATATTTTTTTAGCCAAAATATTTACAGACCCCATCAATCAGAGGTTTGAATAAAAAAACATCTATATATATCTATAGTAATCTATGGGGTTATGAACATCAAACGATTGTTATAAATCTTCTTGAACTGAATTTCTCAGGTGATACAGCAGGTGTTCACAGGTAGAACGCGCGTGTGTGTTTATATACACTTATTGTTTTTTTTACAAAAGTTTAAATGTTTCCTCATTTTTCACAACCATGACTCAAACATGAAATGGGGGGTAACGCACTTTATTCTGCTTCGACTCGGCTAATGAAGACGGACATACGCCAAACAGTGTGCTATCAGTAACATTTTGCACAGACAGTGGCGCTACGGTCAACTGTTATATCGAATTCCAACTGGCAAGGGATCTTATTTGTGCACGCCTACGTGTACACGTGACCTCGGTTTATCGGCCATACCGGGATGGAACAGAGGACCTCCATGGGTCATTCACCTCTTAACTAACAGGAATCAATTATCAGGTCACCAAACGAAAAAAATTACGAGAAATCTTAAAAGTGATAAGCAATTTTGACGTTCACGTCCAAACGACTCAATATTTTGAGCTGAAATTTTGAGACAAGGTAAATACATCATTTCTCTACATTCTGGCGCTTAAATTCGATACGTACTCGGACTTTTATTTTTGACACTCTGTTCAAATCGGGGTAGTCCCTTTAAATTATTTTCAAATAAGATATTGGCCAGCTAGAATAACAGGAAGTAGAACGGCAGCAAATAATTTTCGACAACCCTAACCCTAACTGTTATTACCAACGGTCATAACAAAGAAACAATAAAATTATCTGTAGTCTTGTTGATGTTTTTTGTTGTTTTTTTATGATGAAATATTTAAAGAAAGTTTTGTGTTCGATTTCAACACGGCTGTTTACGAATCGGCCTCTGAGATTTGAAAAGGATACGAGATAGGTTGGAAAAAATAATCACGTGTTACGATTAGACTTGGGTACGACTTTTCTGGTTACGGGAGAGCTTTGGTACAGATAATCACTGGTTACTATCAGAACTGGGTATCACTCTCTCTCTGGTTAGTTAGTAAATATTAATTAATTTTATTTCAATAATTCACATTCGCGTAGGGCTCTTTAGCAGTGGGAGGACACCGGAGGACCCGGAGAAAACCAACGAGGTTGGGCAGGCGACTCAACTCCTTTTCGCGTACAACCGGCGAATCGAAACCACGCCAGTTGACTCAATGACAGCCATCATGATTCAGCGCGCACGCGCTAACCATTCGTTCCCCCCCCCCCGTATTATACGACAATAAAAAAAATAAACGTGTATGGAGTCGGTAACCGACCTGCAAACAAGTGATAAAAGCTTTTGTATCCTTATCGTAAAGTGATATATTTATTATTTAGAACTTAATGTTTACAGACCAGAAGTTGGGCCGTTCAAAGATAAACAAAGTATGCGATTGATTTAAGATTACAATTATGTTGTACTGTGAAATGAAATTGTGTTTAAGGTAATACTTTTCTATCGCGAGTGAGCTAAGGAAGACAAGAATATGTCATACAGTCTGCTATGGGGGATTTTGCCATGCAGTGTGTTATGGGGGAGTTTGCCCCGAAAGCGGCACTACGGCCTACTCTTATTTCGAACTCCAACTGTCGATGGTGCATTTAAGTGCACGCCAATGTGTACACTGGAAAAAACATTTAAATGGTGTGAAAAAGATGATTACGACTTTAATTCATTGCGAATGAATGAATGAATGAATGAATGCATGACTGACTGACTGACTGACTGACTGAAGGAATGAATAAATGAATGACCGAATGAATAAATGAATGAATGAATGAATACACTCCCACATGATATCTAAGGCTATACTGTATAATTTGTCACCATTTCTAATATTCAAATCATTCAGTGTAATATAGAAATTTAGTCATTGACCTTTAAATTGTCAGTTTAATGGTTAAACACCGTTAAAGATGCAATATGTGAGGTTTAGATAAACATCTAGCCGTTCTCGCTATAATAGTTATATTAAATATACATTATGTAAGATTAAGATAAAGAGAAAATGAAATGAAATGGAGTTCAACGTCCTACTGTTCTGCTCCTAACCTGGGCTAATGAAGCCGGGTTAGATAAAGAGCATGTTGTTCTTGTTATAATAGTTATATTAAACACCGTTAAACATACATTATGTAAGATTTAGATAAAGAGCTAGTCATTCTTGATATAATATCTAAGAGATAGAGATTGAAAAATGAATATATTGAAAATATAACTCCGAAACCGGAAGTGGTAGACTAACGCCACCTGGTCTATGTTACTCCCCGGTCCGAGCTACCCCTATACCCCAAATTTCAGACTCGGGGCAGACCTAGTGTAGCCGCCAACCCCGAACAGACCGGCTTCGCTCGGGGGTCATAACTCCGAAACCGGAAGTGGTAGACTAACGCCACCTCGTCTATGTTACTCCCCGGTCCGAGCTACTCCTATACCCCAAATTTCAGACTCGGGGCAGATGTAGCCGCCAACCCCGAACAGACTTCGCTCGGGGGTCATAACTCCGAAACCGGAAGTGGTAGACTAACGCCACCTGGCCTATGTTATTCCCCGGTCCGAGCTACCCCTATACCCCAAATTTCAGACTCGGGGCAGACCTAGTGTAGCCGGAAACTCCGAACAGACCGGCTTCGCTCGGGGGTCATAACTCCGAAACCGGAAGTGGTAGACTAACGCCACTTGGCCTATGTTACTCCCCGGTCCGAGCTACTCTTTTACCCCAAATTTCAGACTCGGGGCAGACCTAGTGTAGCCGCCAACCCCGAACAGACAGACAGACAGACAGACAAACGACAGTCACAAATATATATATATATATATATATATATATAGATAGATATCAACTTTACATCAAAGTGAATTCACTCATTAAACTTTGTAAAGATAATGGCTGTAGTTTTATTAATTAGATCGACTTATAACTTGCTTCAAAACGACAACTTTTAGAAAGTCGATCTCCCGTCTTATTGTGAACATAAGTTGTCAGGGTTACAAAAAGTCTGATTAATCATTTAAATTAACAATTCCTTATCAACAGAATTATGATAATATTAATTTGTGTTTATCGTCTCACTATAATCATTTAAATTAACAATTAATCCCTGGGTCATACCTGAACCTGTAAAAACAGATCTATGGTTTATTGACGGTGGTAATTAAAGGTTTAATCCCCCAGATTAAAGCGTTAATCTTCATGGTTGAATTCGGCCGGAAATCATCCGATAATCGGATTAAATTAAACGTTTGTTTAACGTTTAGCAAAGTGAGAATGCCCGTGAGATAATCTGACCGAGAATCTAGAATTTGTTTGTTTGTTTGTATAAGTAACAGATAATGGCTGCCTCTCTTTAAATAGTGAATGATATCGAATGTTGTTTAGTATAAGGTTGTCCACCATAGTGAACCAGTATCCGGTTATTCGTCTTATAATTATTCGTTGTCCAGACGCTGTTACATATTCAAGACTATTAGTAAGGAATGGCCGATACAGACAGAAAGGGACTGGTTGTTTTAGCTTACAGTGGTGGATTAGATACATCGTGTATTTTGGTGTGGCTAAAAGAACAAGGCTATGAAGTTGTCGCCTATTTGGCGAACGTCGGGCAGGACGAGGACTTTGAGGCCATCAGAGCAAAAGCTTTAAAGTTTGGGGCGACGAAGATGGTCATTCCGGATCTGAAGAAAGAATTTGTGGAAGAATTTATCTGGCCAGCAGTGCAAGCTAATGCTGTTTATGAAGATCGTTATCTACTTGGCACTGCCTTGGCGCGACCCCTGATAGCCCGTGAAATGGTTAAAGTAGCTAAAGAAGTTGGAGCTAGTTATGTTGCTCATGGCGCCACGGGAAAGGGCAATGATCAGATACGATTTGAGTTAGGAGCTTATGCCTTACATCCTACAATTAAGATATTATCACCATGGAGACTACCAGAGTTCTACAACAGGTTCCAAGGACGAGATGATTTATTTGAGTATGCTCGGGTGAATGGAATCCCGCTACCAGTAACCAAATCCAATCCATGGAGTATGGATGCCAACATGATGCACGTGAGCTATGAATCCGGGGTGTTAGAGGATCCCAATCACCAAGCACCAGATGATATTTGCCAGATGACAGTCAACCCTGAAAATGCCCCGGATGTACCGGAAGTATTAGTCATAGAATTTAAAAATGGCGTACCTGTGAAAGTTACCAATAAAACCGATTCTACAGAAGTAACAGATCCATTGGACTTGTTCCTGTATCTCAGTCAAATTGGCGGGAGAAATGGCGTGGGTAGAATTGATATCGTGGAGAATAGATTTATTGGACTGAAATCACGTGGTATATATGAAACACCTGGTGCCACCATCTTGTTAACAGCACATACCGATATAGAAGTCTTTACCATGGACAGGGAGGTACGTAAGGTCAAGAGGTCACTGGATAGTCAATTCTCGGAACAAGTATATCGAGGATTTTGGTTTAGTCCAGAATGTGAATTTACACGATTTTGTATCAAGAAAAGTCAAGAATCTGTGGAAGGAAAAGTGACATTAAAAATTTATAAGGGTGGTGTTTATATTTTAGCTCGAGAGTCGCCATCTTCTTTATATAATGACGAATTAGTGAGTATGAACGTTCAAGGTGAATATGATCCAACAGACGCGGGAGGTTTTATCAAAATAAATGCTTTGAGGTTGAGGGAATATTGTAGACTCCGTGAAAACTCATCATAAACTTTACTTGTTATTCACAGTGGTGAAAAACTTTACTATTATACATCCGCGGGTTAAAAATTCACATTGACGTTATTGAATAATGTACTACTTTCTATTGTCAAATCACATTAAAGATTTCTCATAATTCATACGCGATACAACTGACCACACCCATTCAAAGATGACAAATGTAACGTCATATTATATTATTGTTTTTTAATATTCATATTAGTCATTTTTTGTAAATAGTCAATAAAAATCACACAATAAAAACAGGATGGTAGTTTTTAGTTTTGTTATATTTTTGTTTTGCATAATGAGGGGGTCAACATCGTAATTTATGAGATCCTCGAGTATTTTATACTATTGACGTATCTTGGTATTAAAGACTTGTATGACATTGTCTCATCAGTCTCGGTTGTCCATAAAACAGAAGGCGACTTTCAGGATTTAGAGACAGAGGAAAGTTTATTTATAGATATTCCTGTCTTACCCTGGTTGATGTTTCTAAAAGACATTTTGTTAAACAGGTTACTGGGTAACATATCAAACAAAATGAGGACAAAGATAAAATATACAAACATGATTTTTGTTATATGACACGATTTCTTAATATAAATTGATTATTGGCTTACAATGAACATACTATATACATTAAGTTAGTCTTGTTATGATGTTGTTGTATAAATTATAACCATCATAATCGATATTAATTGATTGATAGTAAACGATATGATCGATATTATATTATGACCGATAAATATTGAAATTCGATATTTGTAGATTTATGAAAGTCGGTGTCTGATTTATTTTGAAGTTTGACATCATTTATACTAGTCTTTGTTTCTCTAGAAGAGATTGACCCAAAATTCATGTCTACGACCGGTTCTCGTGCAGTGGATAAGAGTCTTGTTTGGGGGTGGTGGGATGGAAAGCTGTTTTCTAAAACCGATCGGGACTATTTGTCTAATCTGTCAGACATCTTGTGAACACTCTATAACATACAGTTTTAGAGAATATCTGTCCACACAGTACAGTATTAGTAGTAACGACTTCCGCACACACCCGGGACCACTCAACGCTGTGGACGCTCACGGCTAACCCTAGAATCCATTCACTTCATGTGATATGTTTCTTGTTTTTGGTGTCTGTCCGTAGGCTTGTCTTGGGTAATTATTTGTGTGCTGTGCGGTCCTCCTACACGTACTATTAGGGAGGTATAATCTATCTCGTCATGAACATACGCAAACTATATCAACCTTAATGTAGACAAGAAACGTTAATCACAACGAAAAACATAAATAATTACCGTTGGTTGGAATTTCGCATTGACATTTTTTTTTCTTTTTTTTTTATAAACAATATTTATTCAGAAACTGAGGGGATTGAAATAATTAAAATTAGCTATTTTTTAAAATTTAAAACTTTCGGTTTGTTCAATAAAATTATGTAGCTGACACGTTTTCGTCGTGAAATAAACTATGTTGGTATTCTTGTATTATAACATGAAACAATTGTTGAATACCTGAACAATGATAAATTAAACCTCATTTATAACCTTTATCACCTGTATTAAACCTCATTTGAGAGGGAGAGATGGGGTTTAACGTCCACTCGACACAAACTAGGTCATTTCGGGACTAACATATGGTTTAATTTTATTTCAATAATTCGCTTGCGCATAGGGGTCTTTAGCAGTGGGAGGAAACCAGAGGACCCGGAGCTCATTTGAGAGCCACGGTGGCTAGGTGGTTAAGACGCTTGCTCGCTAGCCTGGAGGTCGGGTGTTCGATCCCTGCATTGGCCGAGAAAGTTCATCGGGCTTTTCCGACGTAGTTTCTCCTTGTCAGTGGTGCAGAACGGAGGGCCTGACAAGGACAGCTGTCTAGTCGTTGGGATGGGACGAATAACCGAGGTCCCGTGTAAACATTGGAATGCACGTAAAAGATCCCTTGGCAGTTGGAATTCGATATAAGAGTAGGCGATAGTGCCGCTGCCCGGGCAAAATTTCCATCATCATTAGCCCAGTATAGGAGCAGAACAGCAGGACGTTAAACCCTATTTCATTAAACCCCATTTAATAAAATGAAATGAAATGAGGTGACGTTTACGTCCTTCCGTTCTGCTTCGACTTGGCTTGTACTATTGGGGGGGAATTTTGTCGAGTTAGCGGTGCCACGGTCTAATCTAATATCGAATCCCAACTGCCAAGGATTCCTTTTTGTTTTCTATTCCATCCGAACGACTATACATTGTCCCTTACCACGCCTCCTGTCCTGGATTACTGACAAGCGGAACCGTCTGGATGTCACAACTGACCTTCAGGTTAGCGAGCCGACGTCTTCCTCACTGAGTCACCGTGGCTCCTGTAAATAAAATCAATCTTTATCAGGATTGTCTTTCTTATGGATGAAACAAATTTTAATTCTTAAACCTCCATTATTTTATTTCCGGTTTTTTGATTAACACTCTAATGTAATTAATAGAATCAAGAAATCAATCAAATTGTTTTACTTAATCAATAAATTTATACGTCTTGAGTTTGATCGATTATCGATCAATGGTATGATTGATTGTGGTATTCCTGTAAAACAATCTAAACCGATAAACATGGATGATTTCAGAAACAAGTTTATTGACCCTCTGTGTTTACCATCTAGCGGTTTAATCTCACTGTGCCCCCCCCCCCCCAATCAACTGGTGTTATAGGGTAGTGGTGTGAAAATTTAAGTAAACAAAGGATTATAGACTGTATCCTTATTAGTACTGTTCACCTAGTTAAAATTTAATTATTTTAATGATTAAAATATATAAGTTAAGTTCACGTGTCATCGGTTAACTAGTATCTTAAATATTATTCACCTACCTTTCATTCAGACAGTACTCATAAATCAATCAAATATATGATTAGAAACTCACTATCATTATATAAGGATAGTTGTTACCCCCCAATTACATTATATCTTTTAAAATGGCTCAAGTTCGCATATGGTTTATTCCTAATTCTCAAGGAGGTCAAAATTTAGTTAATTTGGGGTATAAGTACAGAGTAAAATATACGAAACCCAATAGCACCAGCAGACTTTTACTGAAAATACAATAGTTCAATTGGATAACGGGGGACGATTGCCCCCTAAAAGATGAAAATATAAAAGAGTAGAAGAATCTATTAATGATCTAAAAATCAAACTGTTAAATGGAGTAAAAAGTGCAATTGAATATACTGACGCCATATCACATTTAGTAGGGTTATGATTTATGTTTGATACATGTATTTGTTGTTACTTTTATGAAATTTATTGTGAATAAAGTTGTTAATTAGCTTAAACCTAGTAGTTTAAAAAACAGACTATACTTTTAACACCATTGTATTCGATAATCCCCTTGCTTGATTAATCCCCCATGAGAACAATAGCAGGGGGCACAGTGAGATGTCCCCCATCTAGCGACTCGTTATCTGGAAAATTAAAATCAATGAAATATTTATGTTGTCTGAAAACAGATTTAGTCAACAAACGCGAAACTTTGTAATAAAACACGTGATAGATGACGTAATTTAAATATACACGATAATCTACTTTAAAATATATTGAATATAAAATACTGATTAAGATAAACTCAATTTATTTCTTCTTGATGCAACACAATCGATGTATATCGATCATTTGACGCCTAGATTCATTGGGCTCTCAGACTGTATTATGACACCATAAAGACATGTAACGTATTAACATTGGGAACAAGATGGGGCTGAAAACAACGGAAATACTGCTATTTATTACCTTCCAGTTCGCTATAGGTAAGTACAAATACGGGTATTTTTCTTCCAGTTCTCTTTAAGTAAGTACAAACAGGGGTATTTATTACATGCCAGTTCGCTTTAGGTAAGGTATTAAGCTTCCAGTTCTCTCTAGGTAAGTACTGAAATACCGGTATTTATCTTCCGATTTAGGTAATTACGGAAATACAGGTATTTAGTTTCCAGTTCGCTGTAGGTAAGCTTGAATGATTTTTGATATGACGTATGAATTCCAAGATGGCTTCAATGATGCCGTACGGCGCTCGAGGCCCGTATTACTGTGCTATCTGTTGTTAGGGGATCTGCGAGTCTAGTGGATCTGACTTGGCATAATGTAAATCACAGAAAGCCACAGGTTACAAATGAAATAAAATGAAATGGGGTTTAACGTCCTACTGTTCTGCTCCTAACCTGGCTAATGAAGACGGGCATACGTCATGCAGTGTGCTATCCGGGCAATTTTGCCCGGACAGCGGCACTATCGCCTACTCTTATATCGAATTCCAACTGCCAAGGGATCTTTTACGTGCATTCCAATGTATACACGGAACCTCTGTTTTTCGTCTCATCCGAAGGACTAGACAGCTGTCCTTGTCAGGCCCTCAGTTCTGCACCACTGACAAGAGGAAACCACGTCGGAAAATCCAGATGAACTGTCTCGGCCTCCCGGCTAGCGAGCCAGCGTCTCAACCACCCAGCCACCGTGGCTCCCTGGTTTGGTTACACGCTTCAGTTAATAATATTCAATAAATAAAAAAAAGGTGGTTTTATACATTTTAAACTGTACAATACGATTCTATTCTGAACTCTTAGCTTCTTTTTGGGTCATTTGTGACTCATAATCTGTAATTAGTATCATTTTTGACTTATAATATGTAATTAGAATCATTTTTGACTTATAATGTAATTAGAATCTTTTTTGACTTATAATGTAATTAGAATCATTTTTGACTTATAATATGTAATTAATAACGTTTTTGACCTATAATGCGTAATTAGTATCTTTTTGTCTCTGTAATCTGTGACTTGTTTGTGTCTTGTGCCTGTGTCCTTACAGATCTCGTATAACTCGTTTAGTACGTTGAATTTATTGTAACTCGTTTAGTAGGCTGTATCCCTTGTAACTCGTTTAGTAGGCTGTATCCCTTGTAACTTGTTTAGTACGTTGTATTTATTGTAACTCGTTTAGTACGTTGTATTTATTGTAACTCGTTTAGAA